AAGTACAGGTATTTGTGTTCAACATGTAAGAAGTAGAAAGTACAGGTATTTGAGTTCAGCATGTAAGAAGTAGAAAGTACAGGTATTTGTGTTCAAAAATGTAAGAAAAGTAAAAAGTCAGAAAAATAAGTAGTGGAGTAAAGTACTGATACCAGAAACATGTCCTTAAAGGTCCCGTGTCATGGCCATTTCTACTGATCATAATTCCATTGTTGAGGTCTACTAGAATAGATTTACATTGTTCAATGTTCCAAACTCACAGTGGTTTCTCATACAGCATCTCTGTATAGAAGGGGTCTCCAACCTTTCTCCATCTGAGAGCTACTTTGAAAAAATGAAAGTGGCCAAGAGCTACTTGCATCGCACCGCTTACATTTATTCACATAGCACTCATCAGTTGAATTAAGCTACTTTTATACACGTGTGAAATCAATACCCAAAGCTTATCAAAAATCTTAACTTCACATCAAGGTCCAAGAAAACGAAAATGTCTCACTTCTTATTATGGCCCACATAGTAAATACATCACCTTAATCACCACCATACAAGCATCTTATGGCACATGTATAAAATAAGTGCATTCACTCTTTTTCACAGTTAGGGAGATGAATGGCACTGCATGGCACTTAGGTTCACTCTAATAGAGTCATTTAAATGTTCATCAGTCGGTCTTGTTCTGTATTTAGATTTCATTTATGTCAGAAAAAGCTGCGCTTCACAAAGGTCTGTAGAGCCAAATAAAGCAGACATGTTCAGTGCTGCTTGGTGAATGTTCTTATAGTTTTCTGGGTCTACAAGGCTCCAGAAATGTTGTGAGTTTTGCTGAGACTTAAGCTGAACATGATTTTGGAGATTTATAACCTCCATCTCCATCTCCACAGGACACTGAACAGTTCAGCCATCTTCTTCTTTTTCTTCGTCTTGACATGAAACCATAATAAATCAATTGTATAGGTCTAGCCTCCCTATATCTGTGGGAAATTGTTCCATCCTCAAAAACAAAAAACTAATGCTTCTGCAGTCTAGCTGCAGCTTCTAGCAACGGTCTTCTGTTAAAGAAAGGACACTGAAGGTCCTGAATGTGGCATCACACACATGACTTAAGTCTGAACACAGCAGACAACAGGAGTATTTACAACAGCATTATAAAAACTAAAATACTGCATGTGGGTGCACACTTACATTCTCTGTCTTACTGTTACATTAATCCCATGAATGTATGAGATTAAGTTGGCTTCATCATCTTAATCAGTGATTAAGTGAATAATAAAGTTTCTATCAGGTTACTATCAGCCTGTCACTCATTATTTTTAGGGAGGGGGCGGGGTTTGGAGGAACGGAGAGGAGACGGTGATCGCGGAAGCTTTTTTCCTCCTGCCTTCACAAACTTTACACACGTATTTATCAACTGAAAATAGCAAGAGGACACACACTGCAATCCAAGACTTGATTAAATCCACCAAAAACCTGACATGGTGCTAACGCAAGCATTTTTAAAAACATAAATCCATGTGTGTCTGAGCCGCAGCGACACGGACTGATTCAGGTGCATTCGACGTGTTGGAGACCCCTGGTCTATAGCGACAGCAGCCTCAATATATATCAGCGTTCCCCATCATCCCAGTGTAGTGCTTTGTGTTCCTGTAGTAAACACATTCAGCGTCTCTTGCTGATGTTTGCTACGTCTCCCTGAAAGAATAAAGTGTAATCTCATGGTCCTTTCTTTGTTTTGTTCATTGATCATAGGAGTGTCTGGAGCAGCCAGTGGCATCACAGAGCCTACCAACAATGTGTATAACGCTTAAAGGGAAACAGTTACGGATACTCCGCTCGCTGTACGGGTTAAGTCAATAGATTGCAGCCACTATGTTCCTCCAAAGAGGGCCGATTTGCTGTTGATGACGTCACATTCTTATTCCCTATAGGCGACGCGGTAACAGAATCTGGATTTATATCTGATAGTTAATCAGGTCTGTGTCCCAAACCCCCTCAGAGGTTGTTGTAACCTGCAGACCCCCCCAGGAAGCAGTGTGACAACAGGCGGATCCTACCTGGCCCATCTGTCTGCCAGCACTCAGCGGTGAACTTGGAGTTGAACTAAAAGGAGGGGGGCGTCCGCCTTGACTTCCTGCCACTTCCTTTGTGTGGCGGCTGAAAAGCAGGGAGCAGTGCAGAGGCTGATGGATGGGAGCTGTATTGAAGCCGAGGGGTTTGGAGACAGCCACGGGGAACCTGAGGAGGGGGGCAGAGATGGTCTGACCGATTACACTGTGTGAAGAGGGGGATGAATGAGGGGGGGGGGTGCAGTCGCTGAGTAGTCCATGTCTGGGCCACACTGCAGGCTGCCACATGCACAGACATTCTCAGTCATTGAACTTCCTTCCTACACTTAAAAATGTGATTGATGGAACGCATTGGTTAAGTGGAGCTGATGGTGGTGTTGCCCCCCCACACACACCATGTGTTGTGTTAACCTCTGGCCTGGCTGTGGGCACGAATCTTAACAATACACAGAGGCTTCACCTTGGATTTGACCCCAGTGTTTTGTCTGGGCTTAATGGGTTTGCAAATTCAAGAGTAATGGAGGCTGTGGGTTGTTTATGCAGGACAGGTCAAGAGCGGGAACCTGGCAATGTGGGTATCAAGAAATGCTTGTTATCTGTGCTGGGCTAAATCAGAATCAGGTTACCTGTGTTAGTCCCACAGAGGCTGAATTGACATTTTAGCACAATTGAAATCAATAAACAGCAGCAAGTCTAAGTACATATCTAAAGTATAAAGGACATGAACCACAATAATACTCGATATAAAATGTACTACATCAATTTGTGGAGAATTCCCACAATATATTACAGTAGCAGAAAAAGATATACATATGGTAGTATATAAAATACAGTTTTGTAAGTAGCAGTTGTGCCAAAATGTTCATTGTTGTTCATTGGGGAGGAACCAAAACAATGAAGCAGTGAGTTCTCTGCAGGCCGGAGGTGAGCTGTTATAAAGTGTTATGGCTGCTGGCAGGAGTGTGTTCCTGTGTCTGACCTTGTGACAGCAGAGCTGGAGCATTCCTTAAAGAAGGAGCTCTGCTGTCTGTCCAGCTGCTGGTCATTCTTATTACATATACTGTATATTCTGTTTTATGCAAGTGAAACATGGAAAGGTGCAAATCTGGTATTTATTACATTATGCCATAACGTTACTCACTAATAATGGTTTGTGAAGCACAAAGAGTTAGCTTTGTGTATGAAAAAAACCTTTAGATTTGATTTAATAGGCTGGTGCACTCCATGCATCTTTCTTGGAAAATCCTCTTTTATCTTGACTCCATCTTCTTTATTCCATAGAGGCACTCAAAAAAGTGTCACAGCTACAAACCTCTGGCATCTTAATGGAAGCTACAGTGGGGCAAAAAAGTATTTAGTCAGCCACCAATTGTGCAAGTTCTCCCACTTAAAAAGATGAGAGAGGTCTGTAATTTTCATCCTAGGTATACCTCAAATCACATTGTCTGATTTTTAAAGAATTTATTTGCAAATTATGGTGGAAAATAAGTATTTAGTCACCTACAAACAAACAAGATTTCTGGCTCTCACAGACCATCAATCAATCAATGTTTATTTATATAGCCCAATATCACAAATGTTACATTTGTCTCAGTGGACTTCACAGTTTGTACAGAATATCAGTATGACAATACGACACCCTCTGTCCTTAGACCCTCACATCGTACAAGGAAAAACTTCCAGAGAAAACCCACAGTTTAAAGGGAAAAATGGGAGAAACCTCAGGGAGAGCAACAGAGGAGGGATCCCTCTCCCAGGACGGACACGTTTGTCCGTCCTGGGAGAGGGATCCCTCCTCTGTTGCTCTCCCTGAGGTTTCTCCCATTTTTCCCTTTAAACTGTGGGTTTTCTCTGGAAGTTTTTCCTTGTNTTAGGTTGCAGGCTAAGAGATCAACTCAGTGAAAGCACCGCCTGCAGACCAATCAGAGCTCAGTGTGCGAAGTTTAAAGCTATCAAGTCATATAACAGGAGAAAGGAAATACAGAAAAACAGCCGTTGCAGGAAAGACGGCCGGCAAAAATCAACTGACTGTGTGAACGTGAAAATGAATAGAATATCACCTCCCATCTTCAGAGCAATCTGGCTAATATAACATTAGCATTAAGAAAGCTTACTTCATTATCTGCCACAACATAAGTAACCGGATCAAAGTAACATTAAGTACAGTCCGCGGCACTGTGAGTGCA